TTCCTTCCTTCCTTCTTTCTTTCTTTCTTTCTTTCCTTCCTTCCTTCTTTCTTTCTTTCCTTCTTTCCTTCTTTCATTCTTTCTTTCTTTCTTTCCTTCTTTCTTTTTTTCTTTCCTTCCTGCTTTCTTCCATTCTTCCATTCTTTCTTTCTTTCTTCCATTCTTTCTTTCTTTCTTCTACTTGCACCCCGCCTATCCGGTCAATACGACCACTCTAGGCGGCTTCCAGGCAGGTAAAAATACAATAGCATATATTGTACATATAACAAAAATTAAAAATATCCAGGAATAGACATTAAACAATAACCATGAACAATAACTCTTCGGCTTCCAGTCTCAACCCAGAGGCACCCCTAGGCCTTTTTAGAGGAGACACCGACACCACCCCCCCTTACTTGCACCCCGCCTATCCGGTCAATACGACCACTCTTGGCGGCTTCCAGGCAGGTAAAAATACAATAGCATATATTGTACATATAACAAAAATTAAAAATATCCAGGAATAGACATTAAACAATAACCATGAACAATAACTCTTCGGCTTCCAGTCTCAACCCAGAGGCACCCCTAGGCCTTTTTAGAGGAGACACCGACACCACCCCCCCTCCAATCCAGGCCACTTCCACCCAAAACCCTCCAGGCCGCTGGGACTACAACCCCTATCATCCCTGGCCAGGAGGGTTGATGGGCAGGCAACCCTGGTTTGGCAAGATGATCTTGCCTCCCCGTCCTCCAAAAGCAGTTATTTAAGCACAAGGAAAAAAGGGGGGCACTCTACACATGCTCAGAGGCCCAGAGGTGGAGAAACCAAAATCTTTACTGGCGCAGCAGCTGAAGCTGCAATCCTGCAGTGAAGACTCTGCTCATAACTCTCTTATTTTTATTTATTCATTTATAAAGTCCTGATTTCCAACCCTAACCCTTTCCTGAGCCCACCCTGGGCCCCACGTTTCGAACTCAGAACCCAGGAGTCCGGGCCTGAAAACACACACACCCCCTCCTTTTACCTCCAAGCCATCCATCTCATCAGGGATCGCCCTGCAAGCGCCTGCTACGGCTTTTGTATACAGCCTTTTCACATGACCCCCGCTCGGGGGGATCCACTTCCGGGTCATGCCTGGGATAGGCTCGGAAGCCTCGGCGCGTCGCACGGCGCCTGCGTCACAAGGGCTGACGCTCCGGGCGCCATCTTTAGGGCGGGCAAAGGGGTTTTCCTGCTATTCCTTTCATCCCCATCAGAGGTGGCTTCCAAGGGAGAGTGATTTATTTTTTCCCCATTGAAAACCCATTGGATTTAGAAATACAAAGCATTCCGATGGGCTGTCCTGCAAAGGAGCCC